TTGTCCAGAGGGAGTGAGAGAGAACAAGAAGGAAGTTGGGTGGGGTATGATTGAGTACATTACGTACATGAATAAAATATTGAAGACTAAATAAGAACTATTAAAAAGAGGATACAGGGAGGGGAGGCCAGTCAGGAGCACTTGTGGCTATGGGAAAGGGATTATCTGACGAACTCTGCACGTTGGTGTATTCTCAGCCTTCCTAAGTCAAGCTCTCCAGGCCACTCTGGAGCCTCTCTGCAGCTGCACCCCTCCCTCAGCATCTGTGGACCTGACTTGGGGTGCAGCTCTCATCAGAGGCACCCTCCTCCCCCCATGGGCTGTGCAGCACTCCTTCAGTCCCTTATCACGGTGGTCTCCATCTCTACCCTGCACACAGCACTGACACTCTGAGACCTCTTGACAATTCTAGGGACAGGCCAGGACTGAGTTTCTCTGATGTTCCTCATTGCATGCCTCCCTAAAGAAGGCAGATGTGACATCCTGTCCCTTGGCTTCTTGGGGTCACCTTTAGATAGATACCCAGTGACATACGGCTCTACCTTCACCCCAGCCTCCTCCACGAATGCCTCTTTAAGGTATATGAAACGGAGCTGGGATACCATCCTCCAATGGGTGACGAACTGGCAAAGAGGCCATGGTTCTACTCACTGAAAACAGGGTGGGTTCTGAAAAACTTGGAAATGGCTGCATGCTAATTTGTGACATGACACCTTGATATACAAACATTTTCTTTGAATACTGGCTCACAAAGTCCATGGGTACAGTTCCCACTGACTGGGTTTGCTCGCACAACTCTCACTAAAATCTGGGCTCTGTGTGCCTAGGAGGATTTTTTTTTTTTAACATTTTTCTGAGTTTAGAAAGTCACTGTTTTGTTTTTGGTTTTTTGAGACAGAACTTTATGTGTTACTGTTTCTTTGCTGTATTAAAGTTCCATGAGTCAAGGGTTAGAAAGGGGCTCGGTGGTTACAAGTGTACACGGCTCTTACAGAGACTACACTACACCGTGCAGCTCACAACCACCTCAGGCCTCTGCACACACCCGCTCGCACACGTGTAATAAATGACAGGTCACATGACTCGGGTGAGAATGTAGTTCATCCTCAGCTCTGCAAAAGCAAACAACATGGAACCTTAACACTTAAAAAATACAAACGCACTTAATTGAAAAATTAATGATAAAAAGTTTGATCATATTTAAAAGTGCTAATCACATTTCTGATAGTGATTTTATAAACTAATTGAGATCACACATCAATTACAACTTTCTGAACTTAACTGTAGTCTCTAGAAGTCAAGTCTTTTTTTTTTTCTAAGAGACAGGATCTCATTGGACAGCCCTGGCTAGCCTGGAACCTGCTGTGTAGATGCAGGTTCAGCGTCCTGGAAATCTACCAGTGCGGCGATTAAAGGGTGCACCACCACACCCCGCCCAAACCAGCTTTTCATTCTTCTACAACACTCCAAGAGTGTGCACGACAGTTATGGGCTGTGCGAACACTGACGGTCTGCCCCTGATCAGGAACATCGAGAGAAAGGCGTGACAGACGGTTGGAGAACGGCAGGTTGACCTCAGTGTGTAAATTCTCACAACAACTGTGAGGGAGAGTTCACAGCTCCTACACAGTGATATTGACAACATGTTATCCTTAGCACTGTCATTCTGGGAGGATCAAGGGAAAACGACTCATTGGGGAAACCCCATAGACAATGACACATTTTCACATTCTCCTCCTCCTCCTCCTTTTGATATCTTTTTTTCCTCGCCCCAAACTGCCAGAACCAAGAAATAGCTCACCTGTAGATACTTGAGGAATGTGACTCACAGCAGTCTTGGTGTCTGTTCTCACCCCTTGGGTGACTACTCTCTGTCATCACAAGGGTCTGATGAATGTAAATACCTGAGACATTTCCTCCTCACCTCTGGGATGGTATTTGCCTATGGGATTGTTTTTGTTTGTTTGGTTTTTGGTTTTTTTGAGACAGGGATTCTCTGTGTAGTTCAGGCTGTCCTGGAATTGCTCTGTTAGACCAGGTTGACCTGGTCTTAAAGGTGGAATTAAAGGTGTGTGTTGCCACCCCCAAAGAGAACTAACTGATAAAGAAGATGGGGCAGATGAACTTTGAGGACAGGTGCAGGGCATGTCTCTAATCCCGGCACTAGAAGGCAGAGGCAGCAGGACCATGAACTGAGATCAGGCTGGGCTTCAGAGTGAGGCCCTGTCTCTAAAAATAAAATAAGCAAATAAAAAGGAACTCTGGGTGCACATCTGGCCCTCTGCTGCTAAAACCTAGAGAGTTAGTGAAAGACAAGCCTAAAGCAAGAAGCTGCCAGGCTAAGGGACCAACAGACCCAACCATTAGTTGAAGTCGGGCAGGTTGGCAGGTTTCTGGCAAAAGCCCTGACCCAGGCCTCAGACAGGGACGTGGGAGGAGCCTACCCACGCACTTCTGATCACCAAGTGTGGAAGGACAGACAGTTTTGTAGCAGAGGCTGTGGACAAAGGGCCTGGCTGGTGTGGTCAGCTGCAAACCTGCCTCTCCCAGGCAGAGGGAATCTCAAGTGTTCTCACACTGCAGTGCTGTGGACTTTAACACAATCTCAAGCATGCAGCCTCGGAAGATCCCTAGGAACCCAGAGTCGGCAGCGGTGGTCTTGTCAAGTGCCTTTACCTCCAGCCTCCTCGCTCCAGCTGCTGGCAGAGCTTGAAAGCAGGGATCTGACACTGGATTCATTCTCACTTCACCAACAATTAACAAGATGTCCTTTCGCTGTGAGATGGCTTCTCCACGATGCCCAGCCTGGTTCACAGCCTTCACGAAGGTACCTGAGCAGCTTGCGGCGTTCTTACTTTTGGAGAATGCAGGTTAGGACTTTACAGGGGTCTCTCAGGTCATGCCAAGTTCTGTATCTTGAGTCCTTTTCAGGGTATAAACACAACACTTCTTCCATTATCGGCAACGTTAGTTTTGGTAACGGGGGTGGGCCCAGTCTCCTTACTGCATGGTTACTAGTCTCCTCATGTAATAGCAAGTATCTCACTGATGGGGAGATACTGTGAAAACGCAGAGTCCAGTGCTTCATACACTGGTGCCTTTCCCTTGAATTAATGTTTACTATGGTGGTTGCAAAGCTGTGGGTTTTTTATTTTGTTTTTAAAGAAAACCATGCCCTTCCTACTGCACAGAAATATGCCTCCTTCCGTCCACTCTGTAACACGTGTAGGCACCGTCTCCGCATCTGAACTCGGTCCCCAGTCAGCGACGCTGAGGGGGACGTCTAGGTGGTAAAGTCCTAGAGGAAGTATGTCACTGAGTCGGGATTTGAAACCAGAAGCCTCACTCCACTTCCAGTTTGCTCTCTGTGCTTCTGCTTGTGCCTGAAGATCTGAGAGCTCAGCTCCTGCCCCTCGCCTGACAGCTAGACTCGCTGCTCGGACACTGTCAGCACAAATAAGCTCTTCCTTCTATGTGGTCTTGACCATGGTGTGTTACCACAGCAACAGAAGTAACTGACAGTCGGTATGAGTGCGTGGGTCCTGTTCCCAGTGGATTACACGGTATGACTCTTTTCACGTGGATCCTTGAAGCCGACGTTACCAATATGGCCGGTGGAATCCTCTGTGATGGTCTCTGGAGTCCTTGTGAGACGCTATCAGTAATGGATGGGCACAAGATGCTCCTCCGATGTTTCTTGTCACCGTACCATGGAATCTACCATGTCTCTAAAAATGCCAGCTTATTTCCGTGGGCAACACCAGAGCAGTGGGTGTGCTTGTCACTACTGGGACATCGAGAGCAAGGGCACAGTGTGTGGACATGTGTGCTCACACACAGAGGCACCCACGCACATGGAAAGCCATCATGCTGTGCACACGCTGCTGACTTCATCCCAACCCCAGTTCTTGAACTACTATGAAAATAACCTACAAACAAGTTAAGATTTGTGTGAGGCTTTAATGCTGTCTCGGTGTATTCGGTTCAAAACTTACTAAAATTAACCCCCTCTTCAACATCAGCATGTAATTCATCAGGATAAAGCTGGATCACGTTTCTTTGCAATTTTAAGACAGTTCCCTTTTTGGTAATTTACTTCTTGAACATGTAAAACATTAACATAATTTAAAATTATAAAAGTCAAAACCACACAAAGGAGCTACTCTCTTCCAAGATTCTGCTTCTCTCCCAACCCTCTGTAAGGAGCCCACTTCATCCATGTATTTTTTTTTTTTATTCTATTTTGGTGATGAGGTCTTGTTATGTGACCCAAGTTGTTCTGCAATTCAAGATCTTTTTGCCTTAGCCTCCTATATAGTAGGATTACAGATGTGACAACACCCAGCTAAGGATGTGTGTATGTGCTCACACACGTGTGTATGCCCATGAAGAGATCAACCTTAGGTGTCCTTCATCAGCTGCTGTCCACCTTGTTTTCTGAGAGTCTTGCCAACTAGGCTAGTCTGGACTGCCGAACAAGTCCTTAGTCTTCCTAGGACTGAGATGACCAGTTCTGGCATTTCATACTCGGGGCCTCAGGCTTTCATGGCAGGTACTTTACCAACTATCTCTACAGCCCCAAAGTAAACTTTGACTTCTTGTTGGTTCACACTTCATGCCTGCCTGCAATATGGATTAGACTGAGTACAGGTGTCACTGGTTAGCCTGTGGTATGGATTAGACTGAGTACAGGTGTCACTGGTTAGCCTGTGGTATGGATTAGACTGAGTACAGGTGTCACTGGTTAGCCTGTGGTATGGATTAGACTGAGTACAGGTGTCACTGGTTAGCCTGTGGTATGGATTAGACTGAGTACAGGTGTCACTGGTTAACCTGTGGTATGGATTAGACTGAGTACAGGTGTCACTGGTTAGCCTGTGGTATGGATTAGACTGAGTACAGGTGTCACTGGTTAGCCTGTGGTATGGATTAGACTGAGTACAGGTGTCACTGGTTAGCCTGCGGTATGGATTAGACTGAGTACAGGTGTCGCTGGTTACCTGCTCCTCTGAAACTTCCAGGGGAGGAGATGCTCGCGGCTCAGATCGAAGGCCATCCTGATAGTTGATATTTCGTCGCTGACGTAAAGGAGGGAAAAGCCGATTCCAGTTGATCATTCCTCCCTACAAGACAGCAACAAAGGGTTGTCATGAAAGGAACAGAGCCTCCCCACAGGCAGTCACAGCTCCAGCTGGGAAACGAAATGCCATGCGCTCTGTGGTACTGCGATAGAAACCCCACACCCCCAACACCTCAACCAAGAGGACACAACCAGCCCCTGGTATAGGCACAGAGAGAGGTGCCCTGTGCAGGTGAGCACACTAGATCCAACCTCAGCCTCACTGACCCTGTCCCAGGGTGGCCACGGCCACATTTCAGGAGCTCCAGGCTTTGCAGGACATAATGGAGACACAGACACGGAGCAGGAAGTGAGAAGAATGCCAAGGCTCCTCCCACAGTCCCGCCTGACATCAGGTGATACAGCCACTTCGGGCTTCACATCTCAAGAGAAACGCACGGCACCATCCTCTCTAAAAGAGCCTGTTTTTAGCTGTGTGCAGCTCTTTGAATTTACTAATTTAGAAATGTCTATTTTAGACATCTTAGACTTCCTGAAAATTTATAGACTGTACAAGTCTGAAACCTTCCTCCTCAGAAAGACCTACACCACCCGAGGAAAATACTTAACACTGGCTGAATGTAACAGGAAGAAATGGAAATCCTAAGGTACCAGAAACAAGTAGACATGGAGAACCCGAGCAGAAGCAAGCTGGGATGTAGCCAGCTAGCGGGCCAGCCAACCAGACAGGGACATCAAGAAATCAGAGGCAAAGCCAGGCACAGAAGAAGCCAGCCTCTTTAATAGTCAGGACTGTGGTGATGGCCAAAGACACAGAAAGTTAAAGTCAGACTTCTGTCTCAGCCGGCATGCCAAGTGTGCTCCACAGATTAGTGACCAGAGCATGGAGGCAGCCAAGTGTGCTCCACAGATTAGTGACCAGAGCATGGAGGCAGCCAAGTGTGCTCCACAGATTAGTGACCAGAGCATGGGAGGCAGCCAAGTGTGCTCCGCAGATTAGTGACCAGAGCATGGGAGGCAGCCAAGTGTGCTCCGCAGATTAGTGACCAGAGCATGGAGGCAGCCAAGTGTGCTCCACAGATTAGTGACCAGAGCATGGAGGCAGCCAAGTGTGCTCCACAGATTAGTGACCAGAGCATGGAGGCAGCCAAGTGTGCTCCGCAGATTAGTGACCAGAGCATGGAGGCAGCCAAGTGTGCTCCGCAGATTAGTGACCAGAACATGGAGGCAGCCAAGTGTGCTCCGCAGATTAGTGACCAGAGCATGGGAGGCAGCCAAGTGTGCTCCGCAGATTAGTGACCAGAGCATGGAGGCAGCCAAGTGTGCTCCACAGATTAGTGACCAGAGCATGGAGGCAGCCAAGTGTGCTCCGCAGATTAGTGACCAGAGCATGGAGGCAGCCAAGTGTGCTCCGCAGATTAGTGACCAGAGCATGGGAGGCAGCCAAGTGTGCTCCACAGATTAGTGACCAGAGCATGGAGGCAGCCAAGTGTGCTCCACAGATTAGTGACCAGAGCATGGAGGCAGCCAAGTGTGCTCCACAGATTAGTGACCAGAGCATGGGAGGCAGCCAAGTGTGCTCCGCAGATTAGTGACCAGAGCATGGGAGGCAGCCAAGTGTGCTCCGCAGATTAGTGACCAGAGCATGGGAGGCAGCCAAGTGTGCTCCGCAGATTAGTGACCAGAGCATGGGAGGCAGCCAAGTGTGCTCCGCAGATTAGTGACCAGAGCATGGGAGGCAGCCAAGTGTGCTCCGCAGATTAGTGACCAGAGCATGGGAGGCAGCCAAGTGTGCTCCGCAGATTAGTGACCACAGCATGGAGGCTAGACTGTTAGAACTCTGAGACGAGGATACTTTCATGTCATCGTGACAGGGAAAAGATTTTTCAAACAAAAATATGAATAATGTGGCTAAAAATCATTATATTACCAGTAAGAATGTACATTAAAAGTTCAGCTGTTGTTGACTAAAACAAAACAACGGAGTTAATGACAAACGGCATACATATTCACAACATGTAACAAACAAGAACATTCACATATACAGAAACACTAATGAGAAAAAACCCAGTGACAGGAGTCAGCAGAGAGTGTGATAAATAGACATTTACAGCAGAGGAAGCCTCAAGTAACAAATACCTACTACTGGGGAAATGCAAATCAAAGTAGGGTATCTCGCAGCAGCGGGACAAAGTAAGTCCAGCACCGGCAGCTGTGAGGACGGTTAAGATAAATGTGAGTTCTATGGCTGCTCAGGACGGTGCATACTGGGGAGCTGGGGAGCCTCGTCTCGGGATCGGGGAACTCTTCCATGCTAGCACCCGCACCTCCATCTCTGGGGGGTAGTAAGGGCTGAAAAGGTCTTTAAGGAAGAATGTCCTGGGAGGCAGTGAAATGACAGGAGCCCAGCTCGACCTTGTTCCCCTGCTCTGTAATACAGAAAGGTTCTTCAACAGAAGGTTCCAGGAGCTCTTGGCTGTCAGGCGCTTTCACACAGGGTAAATATGAACCTCTACAAACAGGAAGCACTTCCCTTACGCTGTCCTTTTCAAAAGCAACAGCCACACGTTTCACAGAGGTGGAAGGAAAGCTTGCATTTTCAAAAGACATTTTATGAAATACTAGTTACTGACAAGATGATTTCTAGAGAAAGTATCTCGTGCAGACAAACAACTGCCCCCACTCCTGAACTAAACAGCAGTGACTATTTCTAGTGTCTTCAGCAGAAACTGTGACCAGGTATCCACGCTGTCCACACCGTGGTGCATTCTGTGTGAGGAGGCTAGACCAGGCTCCATGGGCTGGGCACACGACCCTACACTGGAGCTGATCATCTGCAGGGAGACAAGACACCCAGAATTAGAGAAAACAAAACAGTGACTTCTGGCATTTCTGAGGGAAGACACGAAGCACAGCCAAAGGGCCAGAGAAGCCCTGAGCGGACCTCAGTCAAGTGTGGCCAGGGCATGGTGGACCTCAGCCAAGTATGGCCAGGGCATGGTGGGCCTCTGCCAAGTGTGGCCAGGGCATGGTGGGCCTCAGCCAAGTGTGGCCAGGGCATGGTGGACCTCAGCCAAGTATGGCCAGGGCATGGTGGGCCTCAGCCAAGTGTGGCCAGGGCATGGTGGACCTCAGCCATGTGTGACCAGGGCATGGGGACCTCAGCCAAGTGTGACCAGAGAAGCCCTGAGCGGACCTCAGTCAAGTGTGACCAGGGCATGGTGGACCTCAGCCAAGTGTGGCCAGGGCATGGTGGACCTCAGCCAAGTGTGACCAGAGAAGCCCTGAGCGTACCTCAGCCAAGTGTGACCAGGGCATGGTGGACCTCAGCCAAGTGTGGCCAGGGCATGGTGGGCCTCAGCCAAGTGTGGCCAGAGAAGCCCTGAGCGGACCTCAGTCAAGTGTGGCCAGGGCATGGTGGGCCTCAGCCAAGTGTGGCCAGGGCATGGTGGACCTCAGCCAAGTGTGGCCAGGGCATGGTGGACCTCAGCCAAGTGTGGCCAGGGCATGGTGGACCTCAGCCAAGTATGGCCAGGACATGGTGGACCTCAGCCAAGTGTGGCCAGGACATGGTGGACCTCAGCCAAGTGTGGCCAGGGCATGGTGGACCTCAGCCAAGTGTGGCCAGGGCATGGTGGACCTCAGCCAAGTGTGGCCAGGGCATGGTGGACCTCGGCCAAGTGTGGCGCTCAGGCTGAATCAAGGCAGAGCTTAGCTATGGGGAGAGACCAGGTATTTCGTCAGTGTGCTCAAGGACAGAGCAGGAACAAAGTCACAGAGCAGTCTCTAGCACTAGAATGCCTGGGGGTTCAGACTGCAGCTCTGCCTCTGCCTGTGGGATCCTGTCCATCAGTTTCCTCAAATGTACAACGGGAACAGTTCCTCGTGCTCACGGGGGTGTGTATGAAGGTGTGATGAGACAGCTCTACATGTAAGCATTTAGGACACTCTGAAGACAGCAATCAGTCTATGCCGCTGCCTTTCTTCAGCTTGCTATGGACCCTGGAGGCCCTGATGGATGGAGGGTTGGCACACCCCTCTTCCCTGCTGTCTTGCCAGCCCAGTGTTACCCAGTACAGCTGGAGCTACTTCCTTATCCAAGAGGATGCTCTGAAAGATTGAACTGGGGAGTGCTAATAGGATATTGTGAATGTGATGTCTCAAAAAACTTAAATGCTTCCAAAGCACCCACACTGAAAAGGGTGGCCTCTGGGGAAGCTACACCTGTCCTCAGTTTCTCTGTCTGGAGCATGCGTCATCAATCGGCTAGGAGAGAAATGCGACTCTCACACTTGGGCTACTGCTGATAGACACTGTGCTGGAAGACTGAAATGGTCAAGGTCAGCACCAAATGTGATATGAAGAGCTAAGGAGAGGCTCAGAGGCTAAGAGCTCATACCATGCGCTCTCTCAGTGGTCTGGAGCTGGCTGTCAGCATCCACATCAGGCAGCTCACAACTACCTGTAACCCTCACTCCAGGGGATCAGGTGACCCACATCCACACACGACAGAGAAAGAGAGAGAGAGGAGCAGACAGAGACAGACGGAGGGAGGGAGACACACACAGAGAGATATACACACATACAAATCAAAATCAAAATGACTCTAAAAACGAAAATGACCGCTCAGGGACCCTGTGCTAGGGCCGAGGGCTGAGGCTGAGTTGTATGCAGGCCTCCTGACCCTGCCACAGAACAAGGCTCTCCAGGGTCTCACCTCATGGCACATACCAGAAACACAGGCATGTACAGCGTGGAGGGCGGCAGGAGCAGCTCACAGCCAGCCTGGAGGAATGGGGGATCAGTGTCCTCGGAATCTCCTTATCTCATGTCCCCTCAGGTTGTGTTTCAGAAGTTCCTTCTCCATGTTCTGCTGACAAGCCCTCATCTACTTACAGAACTTCAGGCACCCTATTTGTGGTGAGGATTCTGGCCTGGTAGCTATAGGAACAGGTGTCCTGGAAATACCTCTACCTAAACGTTCCAGAGGCACCGCACCCGGAGCACGTCCCAAACCCACCTTCAATCCTATTTCCACCCCAT